AATAATAAACTATTGTCACAATATTAGGATATAAACAAATATTTTATTATTAAAAATTAAATAAATGTAACTTTATATCAAATATGAACTTAAGTTATGCAAAACTGTTTACCACATAATAATATCATGTTCGCTCGGATATTAGTGTAGATAATGTTAACGTAAATATTTCTATTATACAACTACAGTATATGTTTTAATTATAGTTAAATGTTATATTATTTTTTGTTTACTTGTATTTAAATTACTAATATTGTTTATATACTAAACATAATTATTATTTGTACACCACTTGAAACATGACATTCATTAACTAAGCTTTATTAACAATATTTGTCTGATATATTCACATACATTTATTTATACGATAACAAACATAACATAGGTGTTTTGTTATTTATTGAAATTAATATTTATACTTGTTATATAAATTGTTAAAATTATTAAATATTATATTACTTTATGTAATTAAATTATCTAAGATTACAAATAAATAAATAATTATTTACTTTCAAATATTTAAATGTATTAATAAAATATAATTAATAAAAATAGTATTTCAATACTTTTTATATTAAGAACTGTTTACAACAAGCGGGATCATAGATGTACCAAGCTAAATATAGCAAATAAATCAATCGGTTGACGTTTTTGGGATTATTGGTTAAAGTAAACATCAAGGCCGATATTATGTTATACTTTGTATAATCATCATTTAATCTATGAGCAAATCTTACACCACGTGTGACGCTATAACCTAGCACATTTATCGTTTGAGTTAATAACATGTACATGTATGTTATGGTATGCGCTGATAAATAACTGATTAAAACATTAAAACAATTTCATCGTCATAACAATTATAAAAACTGTGATATATTTTATTAGCTCATTAATAAATTGCATGTTTGCTTTACAGTAAATACAGTAGGAAAACGTTAAAGTATTAATGTAATACAATTATGAACATATTGTTCATGGTGATTGTTTTGGTATTTATTACTAAGTTAAACATAATTGGCTGCTATTCTAATACATGTCGGGATATTATTGGCGAAAAAGTGGACGATTGTATTGAAAGTCGATCGCCAATTGAGCTTGATAAAGAGGACCATAATGATTATTCGTGTTGTGTACGTTATATGACTTATCATTGTTGGTTACAACTATCCAAGGTAAGTTATGCTCCTAATTTAAGTTATTTACATTTTTATTCAATCACTGTAATTGTAGTTTTAATTAAATTATTAGATATTTATGCAATTTATTATTAAACTATTACTAAACTAAAAACACGTGTTAATTATTAGTTTATTTTATTGTGCCAGGATCATTGTACTACAACGGATTATGATGAAATCAATGTAAATCTACTGATACGTGAACGCAACTTTCACCATGAATGTATTAAACATCAACGATGCAACAAGCTTGATCAGTTTAAATCAGTTCATAAACGTGATAATTATGAACAAATAGAAAATATTAATTCCGGTTCAATTGTCGTAACAAACATTATTTTATCTACACTGTTATCAAATATATTTATCATCTTCAAATAATAAAACATTTAGTATGCATGTATTATTGTATAAAAAATAAAATAATCTTTATTTGATAAAATCTGTAATTGTAATCATTATTCATTTATTTATAAATTGATAATATATTAGTAATTAATATTTTATTAAGTAGATACATACATGTATCTATGTATCTATATTATGTAATATTTTTCATGAGTAGATAAAATGATAAAATACTGACAATTGAGATATTATACTATTTAATCATAATCCGTTTCATAACATTATAAGCTATACATATAAACAATATAATTATACATATAAAATATATCGACGTTTTTATGGTCAGCCAATTATAAATAATATAATTATTAACTAATAAATAATATGACATTTTAATAAAAACTTACAGTATTTTACTTAAACTTTCTTTTCTACATGAACATTAACACAATTACACATAATATGTTATATCTAATCTACTATCTTACAAAATAAAATTATTCAATTTGTATGAAAATAACAGCATAGGTTGTTGAAATATGCAATAGATTAAAAATCATATTGAAAATTAGTTAACCTAAAATACGTTTACAGCCCTAGGGCAGGGTAGGGCAGGGCAGAGTAGGGTAGGGCAGGGTAGGGCAAGGTAGGGCAAGGTAAGGCGATTCATCCTCCACCCATTTTTTATGACTAGTTTTTTTAAAAAAGGACCAGGATCCTGGTCTGAGTTATGACTAAATGTGCCGTACATTACAAATTATACGATTGTAAAAGAGAGCCTATGTACCAAAAAGTCCTAGGTTAGATTTACTCATACTATTGACTAATTTAATTGTATTGGAAATGCCTGTAACTACAAATGGAATGCTTTGTGAAAATATTTATAGAACCTAATACTTTAATTAGTGGGATTAATTGATGTGGTAAATAATTTGGTAAATCTAAGTAATTAGCAGTTTATTCATCTAGATTGCAGATAATTGCCCACAAACTCTGTTCTCGAAAGACATTTCTCCGATATAAAAATTTATCTGCAATTAAATGTGAAAACTATTATAAAATTAAAATTTATTAAAATAATTTAGTTTTTTGTTTACAACCAATATTGTTAGTAAAATATATTTATCATGAATAATTTAATAAGAATATTTTTAATTAATGAATTAAAAATGTTTAAATGTTTTAAAATATATAGTTTGGCAAATATGTTTTGAGTACAGTGTAAGTGTGATAATCCACAATAATCTATATGTTATTGAAAAAGTAATTTATTGTCATTTTATCAATAGAGCAAAGACATTTTTATTTTTCAAAATCCCAACAAGCTAAATAGTTTGATACAAATCAAAATGATCCATTATGATTTATTAACTAATATAAAACAATATTAGGGTACGCATAAACTTGAAAATTGTTTAAACAACATGATAAAACTTATAAATTATATATCTAAAAAATTATATAAATAATGTGAATTACTTTTTACAAAATAATAATTGCTCTAAATTCATATAGTTACCTATTTGAATTTCTAGTATTAAATATGTTATTTAATAATATTTTCATCACATCGGTTTTATTTGTCAGCATAGTATGCCTGACATCGGGAACGGTTATACCCCGATTAAATGCCACCGATTCTATTGGCATAACTGGTGATGAGACAAAAGGCAAATTTGATGATGATACAAGAAAGTGTTTGCGCAATTATGACGATGAAATTAAAAAATGTGTGCAGGGCCAATTTAATTTAGACAAAATTAATTCCGAACAATACACTTGTTGTCGCTCGTGGTATTATTGGGACTGTGCCGCTAGTATATCAAGGGTATTGCATTTTATTACAGTTTATACTATAGATTGTTAAAAATAATTATTTACTAAATATGCTGGTAATTAATCCCATATTTAAATTCTGTATTTATAAAAAAATATATTTATTACATAAATATACAAACTCGTACAGTTTGTATTTGTTTAACAATCTTGCTAATACAAGCTTTTTCTAAGTCAATAATAATTAAAATAATTATTAAATTATATAACCATGTTAGAACAAGTGTGGCAGCAAAGTAACAAAGAAAGTCAATGAATACTTTGGCCGTTTAATAGCCAATCATCATAACTACGAGTGCAAAGACTACCCGTTTAATGACCGGGTGTTGCGATGTAAAGCTCCGGACGTCTCTCAAGTTATCAATAAACTTGTGGTCAAGGAATTGGTTATACAAAACATACGGTTATCCTTAGGTGGCGGCGGTTTTACAGACCAAGACATGGATCAGTTGACCGATATTTTGGCCAATAAACTTCGGGACAAATTGCATGATGATGATTAGAGTTGTTAATTAATCCTTTCATGTTTTAAATGCTTTAATGTTTGATTATATAACCATGGCAAAAATATAATTATCAAGTTATGTGTACTAAAAAATTACAATTATTTAAAGATTTAGATAAATTTTAAAAAGGATTTTTTGTATTTAAAATTTGCTTTCGATCGATTTGTCGCCAAAAAGTAACTAAATTTTTTGTTATGTATTGTATAATCTATTACTATTATAATTTATTACAGTTTATACAATTAGTTCCAAATAATGAATGCAACAAAGATTAAGTATAATTTTTTCATTTTTCACAATAATTTAATTATTTCAAAAGTTAATTTTATTATCAAATATATTTCAGTTATAATCTTTAATTAACTATAATAATTTTTTAATTATCACAAAATGTTTTAAATAAAAAATCTTGCAATTGTCACCACCATTCATTTTATGTTATAACACTATGCTTAATAAAATAATTATTTTATAAAATTTATACAGTTTTGGTTATACAAAAATAAAAAACTTAAATAATAATGATGTAATTATAAATAAATAAATAACATAAAACTATAAAAACAATTTTAGACATAATATTATCACGGGAATTTTCATAAACAATCATTGTAACAATCTTACAATTAATGCATTTTTAATTATTAAATTGATCACAATGAAAATCTATCCAAATTGTTACAATACAATACATAATACTTTATAAATATCTATGATTTTTACATTTTCACAACCTTTATAAAAAAAATTATAAGTAAATATTTGTCAATTATTCTTATAATTTAATTGATAATAATTAACACATAGTAATAATAGAAATATTAATAGGTATTAAAGTATCTTATAACGGTATTAGTGTTATCATGGTTCATTTGTATTTATTGTATTCACTTTACAGTAGTTATAATCAACAAAAAAATTATTATCATATGCTGTCATTCACTATTATTAGAAAAACTGATTATTTAAGTACGACATTATATTACCATGACAATTCTACCTTAATGAGTAATTAATTTTATATTTATTTATCATTGTTTTAAATAAAAAACATTGATTTTTTAAAACAAACACAATGAATTATTTGTATTTTATGCTAATTTGTGAGTGTTTTATTATAAGCACAAAAATGCCCCTGGTACTAAGCTATTCAAAAACGTGTACCGATTTTGTAACATCAAACCTAGATGCTTGTATTGAAATTAAGACACCAATTAACATAGATATGGACGACCATAATGACTATACCTGTTGCATACGGTATATCGCGTTTCATTGCTGGCGATTGATCTCAAATGTAGGTTTAGTTTATGTATTTATTTTTTATAATAATTAAAAACATATTTTACATAAAATATTTTTAAAATTAAATTAGCTGTAATTAAATGATCTAATTTAGTTAAATTTAAAAAGCTTTTTTGTATTTAAAAAATATCATCGTAGGTCTCGTTTGGCATCGTTGCCAAAAGCAACTAAATTTTTATTATATTCTGTATAATCTATTACTATTATAATTTCTTACAGTTTATACAATTGATATTAGTACCATGATGTATGCAAAAATGTAATATTAATATTTATTATTTAATTAACAGCAATACTGTTCTGACGATGATTACAATGACATTGACTCTAACCTAAGGATTAGGGAAAGTAATCTGCATAAAGAATGTCCACGACATCAACGATGTTATTACCTTTATAAAAATAATTTAAATAGGCATGGTACATCTGGTCAAACTAATAATTCAATGAATAATATGTTTTGCGCATGTAAAACAAAATTATTTTTAATTTTTGTTTGTGTATTGTACTTTATTTTAAATATATAAATTGTTTAAGCTTGTAAAATTATTTACTAATTGTTCATTTATAAGCGAATTAAATACGAAATTGTAATGAAATAAATAATTTAATTAATAAATTTATTTTAAGATAAATCTACTTGATTATATTCTCTATGTATAAAACAGTGTTTATGTAATGAATGGCCCATTTGTTACATATTCCCATAAATAAGCATTTCTTATCACAAAATATGAAAGATTGCTTTGAATTGAAATATTTGTGTTTACTTTAAATTTGTTTTCGTACACTAAATGTGCGATAAAATAGTTTCAATTCATTTCAAATGCACTGAAAAACTACTTTTAATTTTATTTTTAATAAGTTTTATAAAACATTTTTAAGTTTAAATTATTGTTTTATAATTTTTATAATAATTATGAAATTATTATTAATAATATTAGTGTTGTGTGTTTACTATGTGCAGAGCGTACCAAAACACCTAAACGATGCCAGTAATAAGTGTTTGGCCGACAACAACAATGCCATTGTTAAATGCCAGATAGAGAGTATACCCAAAGATATATCACCTTATAGTATCAAAGAATACTCGTGTTGTGGATCATATACGGCACTCAGTTGCGCTAGAAATATTGCCAAGGTAAATATAAAGCTATGCATCTATTAATATTTAATTAATATAATTTATTTATTTATTATTTAATTATAATTAATTATTTAATTTAAGAAAAAATGCACAGCAAAGGATTACGACCAAGTGTACGAGGTGATCAGACAGACCAGGAACAATATTTACAGCACGTGCAAAGACTATCAGCGATGTAACCGATCAACTACTTTAGGATTTAGTATACCTTTAATAGCCATCATGTTTTTGGTAGTAAAATTAATTCATTAATCAAAATTATATTTGTTAAATAATATAATGTCTATTTGAACATAAAATACAATTAAAATTTTAAATCAACAAACGTTTTACATACAGTTTACTTCTAACTTATATACTAACAAACTCAATAAATAAATATTGTTTTTGATAACTTTTATTATACATTTAATATTAATATTGTTTGTTTTAATTTGATAAAATTTTAAGAAGTAATTAAATATTTATATAAAGTATATCCTCTCTATTGTTGTTAAGTATAATATAAAGTACAAAAAATATAAAGTTATGCAATAAAATAACATCTTATTTTATAATTATCATGGTATATAAATATAAACATTATTACAAATTCATAATAATATTGTATAAATAAGACTTGATTTTTATATGTTTTATATTATAGTCAAACTCAATATACAATTTATTTTAGGAATGATATAACAAAAAATTATAATTAATAATTACATTTATTTAAAGATCTAGTTAAATTAGAAACAGCATTTTTTGTACATTAAAAATTTGACCGTGGGCTGTGTTACCAATAAATACCTAAATTCTTATTATATCTTGTATAATCTATTACTATTATAATTAATTACAGTTTACACAATTGCTTTCAGATAATGTATGCAACAATAATTAAATGTAATTATTTCATTTTTTATACTAATTTCAAATATTTCAAAAATTAATTTTATTATCAAATATATTTCAGTTAAAATCTATAAATAAATATGATAAATTTTTAATTACCAAAATATGTTTTAAATAATATTCTCGCAAATCTGACCACCAATACTATTGTGTTCTAACATTACTCTTAATAAAATAATTATTTTATAAAATTTTTACAGTTTAGGTTATATTTTTTAAAAAATGAGAAACTAAAAAATTTTATTTAAATAATAATGATGTAATTATAAATTAATAAATAAATAACATACAACTTTAAAAACAATTTTAGGCATAACATAATCACCGGAATTTAAATAAATAATCATAGTAACAATCTTACAATAAAATAATTTATTGTTATTATTTAAAATACAAACGCAAAAAATGCAATACTATTTGATTGACTATTTCTACAAACATTATGCAATTGAATGCAACAAAAACCACATTAATTGTAATTCACACAGCGTTTACACCTAATCCTGATAACCTTGAAAATACATTAATTTAACTTAATATTTAAATAAAATTCAAGTAACACTGTTTGCCTCCCCAGACAACCATATAATACATGTACAAACGAGAACCTTGAAAGTAAAATGCCCATCATAAATTTATTTATATTATTTTAGAAACATCTCTATATATAAATACATATAACATGTATCGTCTCTATGGGTCTGTCAGACTAGAACCTAGGGCTATATAAATGCTGTAATAATTTTTTTATATAAAAAGCATTGCTAAAAACTTTTACATAGAGTTTTTAAGTTATTTTTGAGATCATTGATGAAATCATGTTTTCCAATGAAATTTCCATACATTTCCATTGAATGAATGGCCGGTGCCTTGCATTCAAACTGATAACACAATTGATAATAAATGACAAAAATA